AACTCTCAAGCTTAAGAGGTGCTTGATCATCATGACACAAGTTTAGAGCCGGTGGCCAAGTCAAACAGCTGATGAAGGATGCCATCTCATTTTGGGTTTGTCTAAAGTCTCTACCTTATAACCTCATTCTCTTATATTAATTTACTGGATCCGGCTGTGTAATTATTTGAGCTTAGACGATGTAGCAGTATTTTCTTGAATCAAAATTGTACACGACATACAACAAAATCCACACATGTCTTGGTTTGATTCAGAGTCCAGTATATCAAATAAAATCATTTTTACTGCTCTCTGCTCACATTGGCGGTTCTTTGTTTAAGCTTGGATATGTTTCAGGTGAAAGCTTTGCACCACAATGTTACTAGCATAAAACTTTGGTGTGGGTGGTCCTCACGCTCATGTCTTTTAAAACTTTGAGGCCATATTCTTCTCTTAATTTATAATCTCAGTTTATGTGTAATTAACATATTAAAACATTACTATCATGTTTGTTTTCAGTGGTATTGCTTTCTCGATGGGAATGAAATATAATATGATTTTAATTCTAAATAAAATTTTATATTTAAAAATTATTTTCCTTAAAAGAGATTAATAATATGATTTTAATTCTAAATAAAATTAGTAAAATTATAATTAGTTATACAGATTCTAATAAAGATAAAGTTACTTAAATACATAAGAGTTTATAATATAACACAATCAAAATCCCCTAAAATATCATTTATATTGAAACAAATAAAATATTTACTAGTTATAAGGTTCAAAAATAGTTATATCATACCATCAAACAGAAATATCATCATCATCTATATTATTAAAATATAATTTCTACTTGGATTATACCCTTGATTTGAAATGAAATTAAAACCTCGTACCACTGCTTTGTTATTAATACAAACTAGATTTTGACCCACGCAATCGCGCGGATGTTTGATTTTATTTATATATATATATATATATATATATATATATATTGATATTTTACATCATTAATGGTATATTTAAGGTTAATATATATTTAAATATTCATATAAACATTTAAAATATAATAATTTGTGGTTTACATGTCGTAGTTAATCAATTGTTTCAAATCGTCACATATATTTCTCAATTGTTATTATATACTTATCTTACTGATTTGCATTTTACTATTAAACAAATCAATATGCATGCAACAACATATTTAAAAATTAATATGTACTTAATTTATGCTAAATTTTACCCACACTTCAAAGCTCTGGATTATCATTTAGCAATTTCTTTTTATGTATAGTCATTTTAAATAATATATTATTGTATATATAAAAATTTATGATATGTTGATATAATGAAATGTAATATATAGTTTAGTATGTTAACATGTTTTGCTAATATATTATATTATTTTAATATAAATTTTTATTTATAAAATATATTTAATATATAAATTTATTAAAATTATATCATATTTAAATGGTATAATAATTGTTTTCATATGAATGATTATTATTATAAAATAAATAAAAATATGATACAATTGTATAATTTTCATTTTGTAAAAAATAACTGGATAGATATTAAGGTATACGAATATTTTTCATTAATTACGAAATAAGAATTTACATAAAAAAATTTAGAATTGAGATCTTGTTAAAATGTTTTTCAGTTTGTTAGACTTTTAAATTATATAAATATTATATATATATATATATTTTAAAAGTCTAACAAAGTGAAATATATATATATATATATATATATATATATATTTAGAATGAAAAGATATCTTTAATGTAGTAATACATATTATATATTATTAACTTTGAAGAAATACATTTAAAATATTTTAAGGAATGGTCCAACTAAAAAGTCACATACAAAAGAAATCATAACTTCGATTTTAAAAGTGTAGATATATACTATTGATTGTTTCTTTATTTTTTATTCATATTTTATATGTGTAAAAAGTATGTGGTATGTAATTAATGACAGTGTTTTGATTCATCTTATATATTAAACTATTTGCTTTGATATATACCTACATACGATCGAGAATATGCTACGTTAAAACTGACAAACACTTCCTAAAAATTATAAAAATGTGAATATTAGGGAATCTGGATATTATTGTTGCAACCGAGTGATGGAGTACCGAATATATGGAGTGATAAAGTAAGTCACAAAATATTTTTAAGGAATAAACAAAACATGAGTGTCAGTGACAGGTCTGACTTAAAAAAATCCACCTAATGAAATGATATTTAGACTTCTATTTTATTTGGGTAGATAACAGTTTAAATTTATTAATTTTAAAAATTAAATTTAATAAATATTTTAAAAGATTTTCTTTTAGCAATATTTGTTTCTATTTTTAGGCATTGATCTGACCAAATGCTTGGGTATTTTTCAAATTTATGTATATATATTATATATTTATATCACTTTTCAAACAAAATAATTTTATTGTTTATATTTTTGTCTATTCAGTTAATTGTTTCAAGCCACCACATTTATTTGCTGATACTTATTATAGATCTATCTTATTGGATTTCTGTTTAGTTATTAAAAGAACTAATATATACTTTCTTAAAAAATTGAAATGATTTTATATTTAAAATCTTATTATTAAATAAAAATTATTAAAAATATAGAACCTAGTGTAGAAAATTTACATGTACTAGATTCGTTCTCCGCGCTACGCACGGAAAATATATTTATTTTTTGCGTATTTGGTTAAAAATTTGAAATGAATTATTATTATTATTAACTATGTAATTGATTGTTATTTAGGGATATTTTTAGTTTTCAACTTTTTTCATTGTAGCATGAAAGCAATATAATTGTCAAATATTGTTATTTAGTTAATTTTTTTTTTTTGGTTTTCATTTTTCAATTATGTTATTATATTTGTTTTGTTTATTTTTTTACCTTTATCTATAATAGGCTTACTTATGTCATATATATTATACATATATGTATATTTATAATATAATTTACATGTGCATTACAGAATTTATAATCTGTAAAGAAAATTTGTACTTTAAATGCTACTAATTTATTATTTAACACTTATTTGTCCTAATTAAGCTAAAGTAGGATGTTCTTTTTTTTTTACATTTATTGTAGAAGCTAATTGTTTGTTGAATTCAAATTTAATGTAGAATGTTAGTATTTGTCTTCAAACATAATATGTATTTGTTATTATTAGTAGAAGCATAATTGTTCTGATTTAAATATATTATTATTGAAGACGGGTTTGATAAGAAAATGAACGACAATTTATTTAAAAATAGTAAAAGGAAAGCCAATCACTGCATAAGATTAGATAGTGGATTTACGAAAGGCTCTTAGAAAGTAATGGTTGATGGCTGGAGATTTTTTCTTATGGATGATGTTGATGTGTCTGATTGATTTGTTGAAGTAGAAACTTGTTGCTGATGCTGAAGCGAGTTCTAGTTTTCCTGTAAAGAAATTTTGTTTTTTGGACATGGTTAGAGCAAATTAATATACATTATTTGAGGAATATGATAGACGGGAAATGTAACTGTAAAACATGAGATTTTAATTAATGACATTCATTTTTAAGAATTCTTTAAGGAATCTATAAACCGTAATAACATACATAGATTGGAAGATGTATATATATTTGTCAATTTTGCAAAAGTGTTTCATAATAGGATTTTCTTATAAAATACGTTTCTCAAGTTTTGAAATTAATGGATGAGTAATACTTTGTTTTTTTTTATTTGCTGGAAGGGAAAATCCAGTGTGGTTTAGAAATATGAAAAACAAAACTGGTAATACCAAAATAGTATACTTTTATATATATAAATTATATATAAAGTAATAAGATAATATATTTATGTAAACTTCATTAAAAAATTAATCCCCCTATAAATTAAAAGAGAAGTCACTTTGACATGTGGTACTCACACAGCCCTTCTCAGAAGAATTCTAGCGATTCTATTGGTTGATTTTTTAGAATTTATTTTTTGATTTATTTTTACCATCGACACTACTAAAAAAGAAATCCATTTAAATACTTACCTTTTGTGTTTTCTCGATTCAAAAAACATCCTTTTGCGATCCTTTCTCTGTTTAATTCATTAAATATGCATTAAATATTTTAGATGTCAGAGAAACAAAATTAATATTAATAGTGTGTAATAGATGACAGGGAATAAACCGCGTCGGTAACATTAACTATAGTATTATGTAAATCTATACCCCAACATTCCTAAAACTAAAACAATAGGGGAACTGTTTGCCACCAAAACCCGAAAAATCCAACCCCTACCTAAATTTTTTAATATCATTTACAGATTAGTAAAATCGCAAAAATGCTATCAACAATATTTTTGATAATATCTTATTCTGTAAGTATATTCTAAAAATTCAGATTTAAATTAGAAAACATTTAATAAATAATTATTTTTAATGTTTTTGACTAACAACTCACGGACACTTTAAAATTTGATTCCGATGGTATATTCTAAATTCGTTACGAGCTGTTTAACTATCTGATTTTATGCATAAAAATAATATCTGACTATTATTTAAAATCCTGAAGAATGCATTATATCGTTTAGCTTGGCCATGAAGAATCTCTATATAATAACTACTCAAAAATATTGTTTCTTTAAATCGTAGATATTATAAAGATTTCTGTACCAAACGAATTGTAAATATTGCTAAGATATGTAAATTTTCGTTAGCAATATAGTTTTAAATATTTTTGCTTGATCAATACTCTAGGGATTTCCTAAACTGAATCCGAATNGATTTCTGTACCAAACGAATTGTAAATATTGCTAAGATATGTAAATTTTCGTTAGCAATATAGTTTTAAATATTTTTGCTTGATCAATACTCTAGGGATTTCCTAAACTGAATCCGAATATACTAAAGATTTTGTTTAAGCGTCAGTTAGAAGCCATCGACTAACCTACTGCTATATAAAAACCCATAAAGTGCCAAAGGTTTCTCAAATCTATTCACAGCTACATTAGCTACCAATAAAATCCATGCCTCTAAGAACTTCCGTTACCGCCTTGAGATCCGTTGCTCCCCTCCGTCAATCTCCCACCGCCGCAGCCTCAACCTTCCGCCACTTCACCTCCGCCGGCTATCCTTCCAACAGGTTTCCTCAGCTTATGCTTATTTTTCGTCTACGCTTTTCGAACAATGTAGGAACATTAGGGATTGACTTATATATATGATGTTTTTGTAGCTTTCAGTTAACTCCGCCGGTTAACTGGGGAGTACTAATCGTACCGAAGAAGAAAGCGTATGTGATTGAGCGATTCGGAAAATTCGCCAAGACATTGCCGTCGGGGATTCATTTCCTGATTCCGTTCGTTGATCGGATTGCTTATGTTCATTCTCTCAAGGAAGAAGCGATTCCGATCCCTAATCAGACTGCGATTACTAAAGATAACGTTAGTATCCATATCGATGGCGTTCTCTATGTCAAGGTCATCTTCTTCTACCACTTCATTTGCGTTTGATTTAATTGTTTTACTTTTTTAAGTTTTGATTTGGAACTTTTGTTTTTTTTTTTTGTTGTTGTTGCAGATAGTGGATCCTAAGTTAGCTTCTTATGGAGTTGAGAGTCCTATCTATGCTGTTGTGCAGCTGGCTCAGACTACTATGCGTAGTGAGCTTGGTAAGATCACTCTTGATAAGACCTTTGAGGAAAGAGATACTCTCAACGAGAAGATTGTGGTTCGTTCCCTTCAATGACTCACTATACTTCAGTTCCATTTCATAATTCATATGTTAGCTTGATTAAATTTCTTTGTTGTATTTAATCTCAATAGAACTTGAGATGTTTAGCTGTAACATATAATTCACATATGGCAATGATTTTTGGATTCTGCTTAAGTTAGATAAGAAGATTTTAGATTTCTGCTAAGGGATTTACTCATGCTGTATATGTTCAATATTTCAAGCTGTGTTGCCTCTCTTTCTCAAATAACTAAGAGAGCTTAGAGGAAAGAAATATACACGTTGAAGAAGAAAACATGTGATGGATTTTTGAGGCGGATTTTACATTCTTGTAGGAAGCCATCAATGTTGCTGCAAGAGACTGGGGTCTTCAGTGTCTTCGTTATGAGATAAGTGAGTTGTTTTGTGTTTTTTCTTTGCTCGCGATTAGCTACATATCCTTTTCTGCTTATTTCTAATTCGTGTATCTTCAGGGGATATTATACCCCCTCATGGAGTGAGAGTTTCTATGGAGATGCAAGCTGAAGCTGAACGTAAAAAGAGAGCCCAGATTCTTGAGTCTGAAGGTAATATAATGCTGAGACATGTCCTTCAAAAGTCGTATTCTGAGATTGAACAGTGCTTTGACTACAACTCATAATGCGTTTACTATTCTTGGCTAAAATCTACTTACTATTGTTTTTGTGTGAGGTTTTCCATTTTGCATTCTAAAAACAAGAAGCCTGCTTAACATTTTTGCTTTACTAATATAACAGGAGAAAGGCAAGCTCATATCAATATTGCTGATGGTAAGAAAAGTTCTGTAATCTTGGCATCTGAAGCTGCAAAGATGGATCAAGTTAATCGAGCACAGGGTAAGATACTTCAGAGTAACATGTGGTGTCTATTGTTAGTTAGATTCATTAGAATAATTTTTACTTCCATTTTCTTATTCTTTTACTGTATACTGATGACTACTCATACTTACTCCTATATTACCCTTTGTTAATGTTCCTCAGGTGAGGCTGAAGCAATACTCGCTAGAGCACAAGCAACTGCTAGAGGCCTTACCATGTTATCTCAGTCTCTCAAAGAAACTGGGGTAGTAGAGGTGAGTTTTAACAAACCTAGCCTCAGTCCTGCAACCGGATCCTATCGAGCAACCGATCATTCCTACAAAATGAGTATCGTCAATAGTACAAAAACACAAGATCTCTTCTTGTGAATGAAAACATGTTCCTATGTTTGGTAGACTTTCCGTCTCTGTTTTGAGTGGATCACTCAACCAAATTTTCTCATTTGTAATTTTTACATCAATGTATTTTATTATATTTTCAATAACTGAAACGCTAATTTTTATTTTTTTTTTTGCAGATGTGATTGGTCAGGTTATGGACTTGGGAGTGCTTGAAACTATCCAAGTCGCAGTGAAGTTTACACCTCGCGACATCAAGTAATTTTTTTTATCTCACGTTTATTATTTTGAGTGATCCTTCAAGTTCATATTAATTCAATACTTATTCTACTTTTAATAATAGTGACTCTCGTGTTTCCTGCTGTGNAAGTTTACACCTCGCGACATCAAGTAATTTTTTTTATCTCACGTTTATTATTTTGAGTGATCCTTCAAGTTCATATTAATTCAATACTTATTCTACTTTTAATAATAGTGACTCTCGTGTTTCCTGCTGTGTGAGATCCTCTATGAGGGTTGCAGTAAAGAAGAAGAAAGAAAAGCCATATACCTAATCAGGTTTGTAACGATTGGGAGATTTAGAGGTATAAATTTTTCTTATCTATTAAATTAAAAAAAACTAATAGATAATATTATTTTCAAGTGGATGTTAATTGTATTATAATATACTTACCTATATATTCGCTGCAGGTGAACTCCAAATCACCAATGCATTTGAGGCATCACAGCTCTTGATTAATCCTGCAATTTCAGAGACTGATGCCTTCAACAAATGTGATGTTTCATTCATCTTTAAGATTTTATCTTCGGTCTATATAG